AAAGTCTTAGTCTATAATAGTAATATAGACTGTCTGTTTCTAATTTGACTAGGAAAATTATAAACTTTGTTACGTAATTAAATGTCATTGTGTAAATTGAACGATATACAATTTGCAGAATCTCTACAATTAGCTTAGACAAATTACGAATGAGCTGTGTTCACAATTTTCCGGTGACATTTACACAGCCTAATGACAATTTGCGTCATTTTATTATAGTTTAGTGAGTATTCAATCACACGGCACAATGATCAATAAAATAGAATATTAAACGGTGCATTGAATTTTTGATCAACGATTTCTTACATAAATATATTGCTCATTGTTAGATGTTTGATCTATCTTTATATACATTATTTAAATAAGTATATAACATATAAAATATCATGATAAGAATTACAAAGTATAAGGTGTGTTATGGCTGACAGGAGGAGGAGGAGAAGGTGTGTTAAAGTGGGTTTCCACTGTAGATATACTTTGTATGAAACATAAATCTAATAGAGTATTTAAAATGATAAATTCTTTAGTCGACAGCTTATAAAATAATTAATCGTATATTTATATCTGTCATATCATAAACTACCTGTTAGTCGTGTTGTGAAGAAATCTTTAGTTTATCTTACACATATCAAATCACTTTGCCTTGACGACAAACGTGATAAGGAGTTGTTTCAAAAGCACTTTATAAAATCTCAACACAATACGTTATGTCATTTAATTCAATCGGTTTAAGTTGGATTAATATCGCCCGCGACTTTGTTCGAGATTAATTTAAATAAGTAGTCTATGGGCTATTCTTGACTTCAATTCAAATTTCGATCAAAAATTATGGATGTTTTGGTGTTACGTGGTAAGGCAAAGCCTCACACTCATTTAAATGATCACTAGCTGTTGCCGGCGAATCCGCCCCCGCGGATTTTAATTAGTAGGCCGTGTCTTCTTCCAGACTATGTTCTACATCTATGCCAAATTAATCGTGATGTAAGTCGTTCTGTAAATACCTTGTAACAAACATCCATCCATCTAAACTTCGTATTTATAATATTAGTAAGATTAACAAATATCTTAGGTTTATATTAACTGATGTTAATAAAATAGAACTTTGTCATCTCATAGCATTATTGATAATAGGAACTGTTCTGTAGAAAGTTTAAACATGCGCTAATTACTTTGCAAAATGAAAATGAAACTGGCCGCAACTTGGTTGAAACAGATAATTAAGAAAAAAAAAACTCCTTGTGCACTAAATTCAAATATAAATACAAAATCAGATCAATTATTAAGAAATTGCTGGATTTTCATAATTTCAAAAGTAAAAGACAAAATAATTAAATTAATATGTAAAGTGAAACCTTTCTTAATTACGAATAAACTGTTGCCCGCGACTTCATCAGCTGTTCTTCCAGACTACATTCTATATCTATTCAAATTTTTCTCGATATCCGTTTAGCTGTACCGGAGATATCTTCCAACAAACATACATCCATCTAAACATTCGCATTCATCATATGAGTAAGAAGTAAATTAAAATTTAAACATCTAATACGTAACAGTACAAAAGAAATGTATAACAATGAAAATGCTTGTACTAATTGTGTGAGTAAGTTCATACCACCGACGGTCAGACCGGCACTAAATGCCTACAAATCAATTCGCTACACTGTATTGTGACTAACTTTATCAACCACTGACATTTCTACAATGTTACAAATATATAATACCATGTTCTAATATTATAAACTAGCTGTCGCCCGCGAGTCCTTCCGCGCGGATACATAAAAAACTTAATTAGTGCAGCCCACCCATGCATCCATCCACATCACATCCATCTAAACATACGCATTTATAATATTAGTAAGTTAAATAAAAAACAGCTCTTCAAGGCATAAATTCGAAAAAATGAATAAAAAGGCTCTAAGCTACCTCCCCACCAATTTTCAGGCATATCGGTAAAGCCGTTCTTGAGTTATAAATAGTGTAACTAACACGACTTTCTTTTATATATATATATATATATAGATGCGAATGTTGGAATGGTTGTTTGTAAGAAGGTATCTCCGGAACGGCAGAATGGGTCTCTCTGATATTTGGCAAAGATGTAGAGTATAATCTGGAACATATAATCTAGTTACTATTTTTTATTAAGTTCAGCGCGGACGGAGTCGCGGGCTATAGCTAGTTATAATTTATAGAGTGACGGTGCCGCTGTGGTATCGTACTTACAATCCACAGGTTTGATCCCAGCCAAGTATCAATGTATTTTTCCTTATTCGAATTTCATATGTCCTTACGGTCAAGGAAAATATGATGCAACCGGCACGTATCTTCGAAGAAATTCAAAGATATGTGTAATGTCAACCTATTCGTACTGGACCAGAGAGATTACCTTAAGGCTTAAGAATACTAACGTTCAAACTTTATTGCTCAAGGTCAACTAGAGTTCTTAATCGATTGTGTCACTAGTGATATCTGGAATTATGTTGTATGTATGATACGATTGTATTATGTTTGTATGACCGTAGACAACTGTTCAAATATAAAGTTCTGTAATCTCATACCTAAATTCATTAAATTAATATTTCGAGAACAATTTCTCACAAATTTATATATTTTAGGTTATCAAATGGTTACACACGAATGGGACATTGTTATTTTGTTTGATCTAATTCTTTTACTCAGGAAAATAATAAAAAAAGATCGTTTTCATTGTACGAAAACCTGAGAATATTTCCTTTGCTAAAAAAACTAACTCGTGAACCATGACGTTTGATCTCTAGTTTTTAAAGACATAAATATACTTTTAAAGTTTCGGTTAAAATTTTTAAAGCGATATTTTTTATTTAAATAATACGCCAATGTCTTTCTTGATTTGTAAATACGATTTAGATAAAAAAAAATATGTCAATTCTATTTAATTGAGAAACCTGAAAAACCAGATATTGATAAGAAAACTGTACTCGATGTTCCAATACGGTTTATCCCTAATTTGTAAAAAAATAACATGCTTTTTACTTAATTAAACCTATCAAATTAAAAAAATAAACGTCTGCCATTTTGTTCTAGTTTAGTTTAGTTTATTTTAAGAAAAAGGCAAATAAAATAATTGTTTACAAAGAAATAATTATTTTTACGTTTTTGCTTTTTAATTCTTTCATAAAATATAATTGATTTTTTTTTCTAAACATGTATCGTATGTGTTAAATCGTTACTTATATTGTAAGTTTATTTCTAAAGACAGTTGTCTCTTTCGAACTTTGTTGATTGGAATTTAATAGCAATAATTAACCTGTAATTTTCTTATTTAATTAAATTTTTAATTAAGGCAATTAATAGATTATTAAAATATACAACGTAAATAATAATTCGTTAAGTTGTAGCAAATGTTTATTATTGTTTTAAAAACAAATTATAAAAAGAACACTTCCATTTCTGAAAATACGAGCAACTTGAACAAACTGTCAGATAATATTTAATAATAATTAAGGAAAAAATGAAGGCTAAATGGAAAATAAAACGAGTACACAAAAATGCAGACAAAGATATTATTTTTTTGTATTACTTATTTGTTCAAGTTATATTTAAGAACTTTTGTCAGCAAAACAGTTATCCGTTGCGCAAGTATTTTTACAACTGTACTTATTTATGCATAGTACTAAATTTCTCGTTTTTTATGTTTTTTTTTTCCAATATAAGCGAAGAAATAAAGACTAGTCAGTTAAACAAGCTAAAAGAAACTATCTAACCAAACCAATAACAATTAATGATCATACAAAATTAAAATCATTCCTAAAGTTACTTACCATGGGTTTCTGAAGCCAAAATCTCCATTTTCAATCTTATCTGTCTTGTTAAAGATAATGACAGTGATGACGATATGTTTTGTACAGACATTTTGGTCTCAGAAACCAATAAGTTACGAAAAATATACATACAATAATGCAGCATAATAGAAGCACACTTCTATTTTTTTATCAACAAGTAAATGCAACAAGGTATTTACGAAACCACATCGACATGTTTTATTTCTCAACATTCCATAAAAATAATACGCGCACTAAAGTTATGTAAACATATTATATTTCTTGTTACTGTAATATGTATGTAACTAGACTATTTATTGAAAAAAAATTATTATTGCCACATAAAAAAGTAGGGTTATTTTTCCTCTTCTAGTCTAAACATTACGCTAAAGAAAAACGGCTTAACACTTTGACACAAAATTACAACATATGCTTTTTTATGTAAATATATCTGTCGTCAAGTACCGGCCGTAAAAAATGAGAAAAAATGTATAAAGAAAGAAAAAAGTTTCATTCTTAATTTGAGATAGGATTATAAATACGCTGGGTTGCTGGTTTGCGCGGGAAAATGTAATATGAAACCTTTTTATAAAAAGGAGTTATTTATGAAACCAATATAATTATTTATTAAAATCTGCACAGTAAGGAAATATTTAACTGCGTACTAATTACGATATTGTACGTAAAACGCATTAAATAATAAATATTGAGTTAAAAATCTGTTTTATAAAAAAAAACGAGCGGTTTAAAATAATTGTTCATGTTTTATGCACGGAATTTTCCATATTACAGTTTGTTTTACTATGCTTATGTTTTTTTTCAATTAAACTGTACATTATAGAGTTTAGAGCTGATTAGTTGAACGAAAAAAAAAATATTTTTTCAACTTTTTGTTTTTTTTTTGTCATATTTTATCGTTAAATTTTTGAAATTTTTTAACCACCCGCAAAAATATAAAAACCAACGTCCAACTAACAGTGGTGTTGTGTAAGGGATATTATTAATTATAATATGATTTTTATAGTAGATTATAGTTATAAACCTAAACTAATATGTTTTTTTTGAATTGCCAAATTTAGAGCGAATTTGAAAACTTCCGACACCTTTACAATGTATGTATGGTCATGCATCTCCGCTAAAATGAAAAAAATATTTAAAAATTTAAGTATTTATTAGTAAAAAAATATTACTACAACTTACTTGGGGTATCTGAAATATCATCCATAATCGCCAACTTGCTCGGCCGCTTATCATCTTCAGATTTCAAACCCATTATTTCACTGCAACAGTTCCTTTAAATTAAAAAAAAAAAACAAAACGCGCACGCGATTTAAAAAAAATGTCACTTGTAACTGGCTGGTTATTATTTTTGCCCTATATTTTTAATTGGTGTTTTTGACATTTATTTTTTAAAATCGGCAACGAATGGCGCGTCAATGCGACATACTGGCCGGCGAGACGGTGACGAACACTGGCTGCATTAGCTCGACTGTCGCTCCGCAATGCTCTAGTCTCGTTTTTAAGGCACGCGACTTGCCGGCGCACCGCACGAGTCTTCTCACTGGTGTAGACATAATACATTACAATACAACATATTAGAATTACTTGTGATCAAACAGAATTTATTAAATCCCTCAAAACAAATGTTATAAAAGGTTTCAAGGAATAATGTGCAAGCACAGATCCCGAACCGAAAGAGGTAAGTAAGGTCAGAAAAACAGATAGTATTCAATAAAGTTTTTTAAGTTTTCTCATACATTTTTATTGTTGTAACCCCGACGTTGAACGTGAATCACAAAGCAAAGCTTACTCATTACATATTCAAAAGTCGTCGATGTCTCAAAGGTGAAGAAACGGATTTCAACGACCCGCCAAATTCGGGACAGGCCGCAAATTAACCGGTTTCAAGTTGAACAAAGTCATGTTGGATTCCTTCGCGAAATTGTGACATTGCATGAAATATTACGGCAAAATCATTGTCATTTCAAGTTTTAATATTTGAATACACAGAATAATGTAAACATTGAGTTTTGATGATTTTATAAAAACTCAATTTTGAGTCCGGAATCCAAGATAGTTTATTTGTTTTTGAGATTTTTTTATTTATCTTTCACATATTTAGTACTTTGGTTAAATTACTTCTTAAAATATTTTTATTGTATTATTACTTATGTAGAAGTAATGTAAATATTTCATTAAATAATTTTATTTACATAAAAATATTTTAGAAAATGCTTCACAATTGAAAACAGATATATACATGTAAAAGAAAATTTTATGAAGCGGTATAATTTGTTTGTCAACAATGAAACCCAGAGAGCCAATTGAAAATTAATTAAAAACTCGACAAATTTACGCTTTGATGGTTGAATGCGAAACCTAATTAAATAAATTTACAATTCTGATAACAACTAGTAAAATAATCATTTTATTCAATAAAATTGAATGAGCGAACGTTAAAAGTTGGCAACCCCAACACAGATATGGCAATTTTTTTGTTCATTTATAATATCGTTTTTTCTTCCTCCCTATTCGTACAAATTGTTTAATAAATTCCTCCATTATGAAACTGTCAACGGACGTTTTATTTTACTGTGAGTCCGCATCATTACAAACGAGAACAGCTAGCTAGTTGAACAGCGAATCATAACTCCTAAGTTTAAAAAAATAGAGATTATTCGTTAAAAACTTGAAAAGTACAAACATAATAAGAAAGTTTGAACTTCATTTTACATCACCTGTAATAGGCATTCAGTCGAATTTAATATTTCATCCTGGAGACCGAGTGTAAGATAGCCTTAGTAGCCTGATTTACATACGATAGTGATTTATTTTTAATATTACTGTGTTTGCTTGATAAAATAAAACAATAATGATTTTTTTTTTTTAATTTCGTCGGAAAGAATATTAAACAACAGTAAAATAGGTACAGCCAACCTATAAAAAAAATAATAGTAATGTGAACATTCGGTTTAAAAGATTGGTATCAAAGTTGAAACTCTAGGCTAATAAGGGTAAATTAAAATATTTTGTCCCAAAAATTATCTCTAAAAAATAGATAACGTTTTTCGTTTGCTATTGCGATTGACTAAAGAACCAAATGATTTAAATAGATAAAGTAAAATAATTCGAAATACTGGCAGAATATTAACTGATGTCATTTTCAAAAAAAAAAATTCAACCGAAATTTTTGTCATGCATTGAATAACATCAATATATTTGATGAATCTGACATATCTTTGATACGGTAACATGAGTTGCGCAGCCGCGTGCGGAGGCCGTGATCGGTACATCTCAGTACGAAAACATATCTTATCAATAACATAGGATTACACCACTTCACAGCCAAATCCATCTCAAGTTGGTATAGAAAGTAATTATTTACTGCGAATTATTTAAACTTTATTAATCTTGATATCAAAAGATATGCATTTAGTTAGTTGTTATGGGCTTGGTTTTCTACAACTTCAACGAAATGGCACACAGTTTTTACATGTATGCAGAACACGGGCTCACTTCAGGCATCCTAGTTCTATGAATTTTAGCAACTCAAATTCTTGTGCTCTAATAATAAAACAAGTGAATGGAGCCATAACGACAACCTACTAAATATAAAAGGGCCCTCTCCTCTATCCTCTCGCTTCTCGACACGCTACTCCCAACTTTGCACTGGTAAAGATTATCTGGTAGGCCCGATGAAGAACGCGCGACTAATGTTACATTTAAAATTGCTTAAACAATCAATTGCGAAAAACATGTCAAAGATTTAGTATTGGAGTTTCTGTAATGGAAACACACGGGTTTACAAGTTTTGTGCTAATCTCTTTTGAAAATAACTTCTAAAAGCTAAGTCATCTTTAACTGCGGAAAACGATCGGATTAATTCTGTCAACATTATATTAACTTACTAATACAATTTTTATCAACTTGACAAGAGTGTGATGTATATATAATACATCTGACTAGCAGTCGCCCGCGGCCCTATCAGTACGGAATTATAAAAAAACTTAATAAAAGGCTACTCGCCTATGTGCTCTTCCAGACTATGTCCTTTTTTCCCGGGTATAATCTGGCCTTTACAGTTAATTAGTCAAGTTATTTATTGTTTTTGTTTGATTTGTTTAATTTCATAAGATGTGTACAGAGATTTGAAAACAAAACTAAGTGGATAGATAGGCTATCTAGACTGATGTAATACTAAATCAAAAACATCAAATAACACAAACTCAGGTAAGCGATTATCCAGACTTTGATTAAAACACGCAATAAAGATACGAACAAATCTTGCGACTGTTTGTGAAGCGATTACTTACTTATGAATAAAGCGAGAATTTTCTGCAGTTGATCTATGCAGCAGATTATAAAGTCCACTCGCTGATTAAAAGCTCAATTATATCAATGGAAGGTTTCTAAGTATAAATAATTAGATAATTGTTTTTAGGGTTCCGTACCTTATAGGAAAAAAACGGAACCCTTATAGCATCACTTTATTAATTTTAATCCTAACTCTAGATTCAAATTCACAACTAATTTGGATATGACTATAGAATAGACCAGTTGCTAAAATATTTCCTTTTAAAAAGAATAATGATGTTCGGATGAAATTTATATCATAATAATTTTTCATATCTTTCAATCAGCTGTTAAATCTAATTTCGTGTAACTGATTTATTATGCCAGCGATTGTTTAACCGTCTTAGAAACCCACGGTAAGTGACAGAGGCACATGGAAGAAGTGAACTATGGGGAGAAATACAATTGAAGAACAAATGTTCACCGAAAGCAGTGAAACTTTGAAACGTTCATGTGAAAAAAGTTTGGGAGTCTCTGATTTGCTTTAACGCGATCGATTTTTTTTTGTCACTGGTTTCCTTTAAGAGTCATATACAGCTTCACCGGGCTTGAGGTGGCCGAACTCAGATGTCGCTGAGCCTGAACCTCGTAACGCGATCGAGTTGGTTAACTTGCACTCAGCTTGATACCGATGTTTATCACACGTGATAATATCGACTAGTTCGGATGACAAGTGCAAATGTGTCTGCTTGACGATACGTTTCTTACGTCACCTGACATAATCTCATATCATTGTGATCGTACACTCCCACGTCGCATGATTACCATCACATCCAAGATTTATCTTAATAAATGTTGACAAATATATTAACACTAAATATACATTTATTTATTGATTTCATCACCACATTTACACACGACACTATAATCAATTAGAATCATTAAATATAATTCATCTAATTCGATGACATGCCCAAAGTATTCAGTGAAGGAAGGGTGGCAATGTATTACCTCAAGTTTATTTCTGAATTTAGGTAATCTCATATCATCTTTGGATCTATTATTGGTTTCGATTTTTATACTTCGCTTAATTTTAGTTTGTGGTATTTCAAAAACACATAGCTTCTTCTTCTAGTGCCTCTTTATTCTTGAAGGTTGGCCGCATAGCTTACTTATTTAAAATAATAGTTTGAAGGATGACTGTTAGTTTATACAAATGTAAGCAACAGATAGTTTCAATATTTCACAAGTTATACTTAGTTATATTTTTTTTAGTTAACTTTGATAAAGTCTTTCTTCTTAAACAGTACGGTGCGTGTTGTTTCATGTCCAATCTGTCACAAGCTGGTGACTAATTCTTTTGATTACAAATATGTAAACTATTAATATTACGCAGAAATATTTTAACATACTACTTATTTAAATAAAAACGAACAAACATCCTGAAAGTTGCTAAATATGAGATTAGAAATGTTGATTGTTGATAAGATTGTAAAACCGATGCATCCGTATGTCATGTTTTATATAAATACTAACTTTCGCCCGCGAATCCGTCCGCGTGGATATATAAAAAAAATATTAGTAAGTTAAATAAAAAGCAGCTCATCAAGGCATAAATTCTAAAAAAATGAATAAATAGTATCCTATGTCCGGTTCGACTTCTGGCTCTAAGCTACCTCACCAATTTTCAGACATATCGGTAAAGCCGTTCTTGAGTAATAAATAGTGTAACTAACACGACTTTCTTTTATATATATCGATACTCATAAAAGAATCATCTTACTAATATTAAAAATGCGAAAAAATTAAGCATCTAAAAGACATAAATGTTAAACTATAAGATCTACTCAAACAATTTAAATTATATGACAAGTATGTTACATTTTTAGCTATTTAACACTTTAACTCCTCAGTGTACTCAATTGGCAATATTTCTGGTATCTCATAGCATAAATGTCAATAAAAATAGCTATATCATGCATACTCGCTACGCAAAAGTTCACTTGCGGAAACTGAACTGGATCGTGACATTGACATTATTCCCGCTATTTACACAATTTATTTACTTATTTCATACTAATATTATAAATTATAATGTTTGGATGTATGGATGGATAGATGTTTCTTAGAATTTATCTCCAGAACAGCTGTAATGCAGCTCTCGCTGAAATGTTGTATGGAATATGTAGGATTCTGTCTGGATAATGGGTTTAACAAGTTTTATTTTAATTCGCAGACGAAGACGCGGGCAATAGCTATGATTGACATTTATGATAAAAACCCTACTATACCTTGCTTGTCTAGCTTTAAAAATGTTCGTTTATTTATTTTTCATATAACAACGAGTAAAGACGTAAAACATCAGAAAGTTAGCCGCCAATTTGAAGAATAACGCACTTATATACGGTGAATTTTATTTAGTTCTATTTTTGGACCCTGGAAACTGAAACCAATTTGAAAAATTATTTCAGTGTTGGGAACCAATACTTTCCCCGGATGACTACATTTATCACTAGGTATTTGCTTAAATTCCGCGAGGTCTAAGCCGCAAGCAATTTTATTAAACTAATACAATATCAACATATTCTCCATTTGATTACGAGAATAAAATTTATGCAAAACAAGAATATGAGGTAGTGAGCTAAAAGCATATTCGTTTACTTTGGCGCTTTGTTTGAACGCTCTTGTAAACATTCAACTAGGATTATATTGTTCATCATCTCACGTATTCGTCTCGTGGTGTGTCACCGCAATTTTTTTTATAAAACTAATATTGACAATGACAAAGGTAATACTGCCACGTGGTAGATACGAGTGCGGTATATTAAATGACAAACATTATTTCAAATGTTCAAAGTCAGTTTTTTATTGTTTTTTTTATTAATTTAGATGAAACATCAGGCAATAGCAAATCTAAATTAAAGTCTTACTAAAAAAACTTAAGTTATATTTGTATTGCGACTATGACAACAATATATCAAAGTTGATTGTTTTTATCGAAACTTGAAAAAATACATCAAGATCCACTGGCGATTATCAAAATTGCATACAAGTATTGTGTTGCTATATATAAATAATATAACCCAAACTGTCAGTTGAAAAGTCAAAGTTTTGGTTATCTGTTTACGTTAATTTTATTACCTTTATCTTGATTTATTGTTTTTTGAGTTACATTTTAATGATTAAATTATAAGGTGATAAACAATGTTTAATAACAAAAATTTAAACATTTTTAGGTTAGTTTTTTTACCTTACCAAGAATTTAAAACGTATCGTTTACTTTAGTAATTTTATTCTGTAGTGCTTATGATATTTTATTACTATTATCACATGATGTGCTCAGCATTATATCTAATCCATTTAATTAAGATTGCAATCATTATCATGATTTATAAACTTACTCTGTGCAAATAAAGGTAACCACGTTTTTAGTGATACACTAAATAAGATGAACGAAATTAAAACTGCAGCTTGGTGGGAGGGGTATAAAAATCACATTAATTTTATTAATCAAAATGTCATATAATAGTACGTTTTGTGTTTAGTATAATAATTGATAACATAAAGGTCCATTAACCTGTAACTTATCCTTGAAGCATAGTAAAGTTATACTTTAACAAAAATTAACAGATATGGTTAATTTTGTTTGCGTGTAATGTAATATTTTGGATATGAAGGCCGCTAAAGCCTGTTTTAATTATATCGCTAATTAGGTAATAAATATTACATTTATTTACAATTTATTACTTAACTTAATTATAAATATGAGGAAAGAATGTTTATAATATTATGTTTTATTAGACATTAGACAGATGGCAACCGCCTCACAGGCACAGGCGTCACCTCCTACGAGCTTTAAGTTTTTCTTTCCATTATGAGAGAGGATATTTTGAGCAAAAAAAATAATTGTCCCTCTCACTCTTTATCGAAGGAAACCGGGGCGGGTCACTAGTATAGTATAAAATTGTTAAGATAATCTAAAGCCACACTTCAGAATACGATAAAAATAATGCCGCTCATACGCAACTGTCTTTTCGCGCGCAAACTGCCAATGACAGGGCGGGAAACTTGCACGCCCCCGTCTCATGAGTGTCATGCCTTCGCTACATGAGCAGCTCATACGGAGCCGTCAACTATCTTAAGATATAGTTGATAAATGATCTTAACTTGAGAGCTGAACAAATGCAGTTAATCCCGTTTTGTGCCGTGCCTCCTGCACTGATCGATACGGAACAAAGACACTAGCGACAATTTTGTACTTATGTTATTTAATCTTACTAATAGCTGGTTGATTTTTAAATCAGATGAGCGTATTGTACATTTAGCAAACTTACTGCATCCCGAAGTGATGGCCCAAATATAGTAGGGAATGCGCGTGCAAAAGTAAATAGCGCTAAAGCGTCATCTACAGTGTATTTATTATACTCTTTTAGCGTCATCTAGTTTTTGAACTTGGAAACAGTTGACTTGTTTTTTTTTGACAGTTGTATAACTTATAGCTTTTTGTTTTATGACATTCACGCGATTCTCGCCTTTCGGTTTTTACCAATTAAATTAATGAAGTAGCTAGTTACATACCTACTTTTTATAAGAAGCTCTTTTCTCCTAATAATATAGGTTTTCTTTTCTTTCAAGATTGGTAGTTTTTAAATTTACATATTACAACCCTTAACAATAGACAAGTATCTGTCCCAGGCAGACTTGTTTGTGGTTGGTTGGTTAGCCGCCATTTTGCGTTGCGTTTATCGTTTGCGTTGTTACATTGTGGTTTTAACTTTAAGTTTTTAAACATCTGTGATAGCTTAGTTAAGTTATCTAATTTAATTGTAAAATCGTATTTATTTATTTGATTGTTATTGTGTTTGTGTTGTTTTAAAGATGGGAAGGAAAAAGAAGAAGGCATCTAAACCTTGGTGCTGGTATCCTTTTAAATATGCAGCTTTACATTTACCGAAACGTCTTGTGACCTTCGCGAATTGTAATTGACCTATTTTTGCAATATTTATGATGTCTTCCTACTAATTTTATGTTTTGACGTTGAACGATTTCCTTAGCAAGTTTATTAGGTATTGTAACAGGGAATTCGACGATGAAAAAATTCTGATTCAGCATCAAAAGGCCAAGCACTTTAAATGCCACATATGTCATAAAAAGTTATACACGGGCCCCGGACTGTCAATTCACTGCATGCAGGTATGTTCGTGCTCTTGGCACGGGCGCCGCCCGCCCACGTCCACACACGCCACTCTTTTAACTCTCACGATTATAGGTCGAGATATTTTTGCTCTATGTTCATTACACGCGCTAAATATCACTCCTATAAAAGTACTTTGCCTTTCTCTAAAACTATTGCATTATTTGGTTCTCCTTCGTTTTTCTTACCAATATTTCATATTTCAGGTACACAAAGAAGCCATAGACAAAGTTCCAAATTCATTACCAAATAGGTCTAATATAGAAATAGAAATATATGGTATGGAAGGTATACCACCAGAAGATATCAAGGAGCATGAGAAGCAAAAAACAGGTATAAAAACATTGTTTGGCCTTCTGCAGTGTTATGGATCCTAATGTATGTACAAGGACATATTTCTTTTTAAATTTTGCTTGGGACACTGTAGCATTAGATGTTTATTGGTGTATAGTTTTAGTGTTCCAGTAAAGGTATGTCTTTTAAAATCAGTGTTTAAAGTGATTCTATCTATTTTTATCAATATTTGGATGATGTAGGTGGTGGCAAAGGGTCCGACAGTGATGATGATGAACCCGCCGCTAAGAAGAAACCTACTGCAGCATTGGTAATTACATAATATTACAATTCACTTTATTTATTTGAGTACAAACAATGGGAATCTCATTGTTTTTCTTTATAAATAACATAAATCATATCGATCTTATGAAAGAGTATCTCATAGTTAATATAAACATGGATGATAGTGGATGAAACATGCATAGATGTTTTATGTTGGGAATTACAAGGAAGTTCTTTATATCCTACATTGAGACAAATCTAACTAAGCTAACGGATATTTAAATTTTAATAAGGTTTTAAATTAAATTCAACTTTATTCGGTTCCAGAGTAAAGATTATTCAGTAAGTCACTTGAATTGTTTCATTTTTTTAACATTCTGTAAATGTACCCTATATCAAAAATATGTAACCTTGCTCACTTAAATTCCTTTTTATTTAAATTTAATAATCATACATATACTAAAAACAATATACAAATGAATTTATTCCTTTAAAGCTTATCCCAAATATTGCTTTAATATCCTAATGACATTATGCATTATATGTATATAAATAAATAAATATATGTTTGGTTTAATGTTTATCATGTATCTTAATCATATAATTTGTATATATGTTGTTTCTAGCTGGGGGCAGGGCCTTCTTCAGTAAGTGCGGGCATCCTGCCCACGCCTATGGGTCAGATGCCACAGGGCATGTACCCCGGACATGCAATGTCTATGAACCACATGATGCCTCACTTCATGCAAGCACCTAGGTAAGATAATTTGAATCTTGTTACACAAGATAATATTCTGCTCTGCTGAAATAGAAAATAGTTTGCACTTAGCAATAAACTCTTCTAGCAAATACTGTCAAACCAGATTAGTGAGAAATCCAAGGGACTGCAATATTTCTCTTGTTTATAAAAAAAATTCTCCAACTTCTAGGTCTCTTGCTTGTCCAGGTTCAACTGTAATCAAGTTTCTACCTATGTTCAAATAAGTTGTTACTAACCAGCACTCAATCTTCGGCCACCAGCAATACCAAGTTCCAAGGTGTTTTTTTTAAGGTTATTGTTTTCTTGTTTCAGGATGATGATGCCAGGAATGAGGCCATTATTCCCCGCAGCGAGTGTGCCCACATCCACTCCTAGCAAACCCACCTTCCCCGCTTACAGGTAACAAATTATAAAATTCCATGTTTTAAATACCAAAGCCGAAACTTTGATTACCGAATATATTGTAAGTTTTCGTAAACTAATATCTTAGGTTAATATTGTTTTTTTTTATTTTACACATAAATTAATTATAAACTAAATAAGGATCTCATATTTAGTACTTTTCGAATTTGAAACATTGTAGTTTTCATTTAGTATTGACATATATTTACATAAAAATTTTAAAATAATTATAGAGGTATAGTACCTAAATATTTGATTAAAACTGAGAAGAATCTCAACAGGAAGTGTTGTGTTACAAATTGGCAGAACAAGTGATATTAAGTGAATCAATACACACCCATACATGGCATAATGTAAGTAGTCCACAACATATCTTACTTATGCAAGGAAGGTGCAACTTGTTGTGCAACATGCTGAGCTATTGTATTGTCATTTACATGTTTACATGATAAAAAAGTACTATTGTTTGTGAATGCAGACTTTATTATAACTTTTAAATAGGAACAACAATATAGATTTACATCAACAAAGTTTTAGGTTATGTAAGTTTCTTTCAACAAGTATTAAATAAAATAATTTTCATCATTCATAATCCAACTCATGCTTCATCGCCATTCTAATACAAAAAAACAAATTAACTAACAATTCAAATAGCACTTTAAAATTTATATTATATATTTAAATAACCAACTATGATCTTTATTTGAAATTAATTAATTCTTAAACAATTTATATTTTGTATGGATCAGTAACGCCACGATAAGCGCTCCGCCGACCACGTCGACATCGGCGGCGGGCTCGGAGCCTAAGGAAAATGGGGAGGTGAAGGTCCCCGCCGCCAACGCCTGCCCCCTGGTCACCGCCACCGGCGCCGGCTCCAAGATCGTGCACCCCCCAGAGGACGTATCCCTCGAGGAGATCCGGGCGAGGCACGCTAAGTACCGCCCTAAACCCAAGCCGGACGCCCCACAGACCATTGCCACCTCCGTCGCCAACATCATGTCCGCCAGCACCAGCCAGGCCGAGGTAAGTGGGCTTGTAGTATGTGACGTGTGCCCTCTTCACACGCAGGACATTCTCAGGCATCTTCTTAATAAAATAGATATCATTTAAAATAAAATATTGGGAGTAATAATTTGCAATGCATATTTTGTGCTGTCTGCTTTACCTGTACACATTGTTTGTCAAATTGCTACATCTATTTGGATCTGTTTGACGAGCAGTAAGGCATGTTCACTGCCGCTGTCAGCCTGCGATGTGTCGTGTTCCGTATGTAATGTGTACCGGTATGCGCGTGCGGTGGTGCCAGGTGGCGGCGCACATGTCTGCGGCGGTGGCGGCGGCGCGCCAGCAGGCGGCGCTGCGGCGACCGGTCATGCAGCAGGTGGTGGGCGTGCTGCCGCAGCAGCTGCAGCTGCAACAGCTGCCCCAGCTGCAGCAGCTACCTCAACAGCTGCAACTCCAGCAGCTGCAGCAGCTGCCGCGCGTCGGCGTGCCCGTGTCGATGCCGCCCGTGATGCTGCCAATGATGCCGCAGTTCAACATCATGCGCCCCATCCAGCCCGGTCAGTACAACGCTTACTATAGCTACCAATAGACCACCCACAACATCTCCCCCACTTTACTCGGTACTCTATAGACATAATGATCTATTACAATCATAAATACACGTAGAACATTTTACTCCATTTATTATTTTTATGCAAAATTATTACTTGAATTACGGAAATAATTGGAATGTTGAATTGTTTGTATGTATGGTATATTTCAGCAGCTAGAGAAAATGAAGGATAGAGAACTTTTAGACATGTTATTGAATAAAAGAGAGAAATTTGTTGAAGACAGTAATGTTGGTTTATAACTCTGAATACTTTGTAGTTAAATTAAGTCTCTACAAATCAAATGTGTCATTAATTTTCTTGACAAATATTTTACATTTAATTATGTTCTTTCTACGTGTATTTATTTTAGGCGTTGAATTTTTACAGTTTGATTTATTTTTTAAAGAATTACCTTTATTGTAACTAACTTTTAGAATAAACAGTTTATCATAAATATATTGAATCTTGCAAACTGTAAAATTTCATAATTTATATTCCATAACATGTATATTGTTACGTGCAAAGTTTTATATCATTTGCAAATATGATAAAAGAAATCACTGTAAATTTACACTAAGGGTAGTGGAAACAAGGCTTAAATTGATTTTATTAAATGTTTAAATAACTATATTTATCTTGTTTCTAATACACAATCCTTTACCATGAGTGTCCACTGCGGAAACACATGCATCAAAACTACATGTCATATTTGAAATCGTCCATTAATCATGTGACATTGCAAAAAAAATCGAAACATCACGACAGGGGAGGGACGGATCAAATATAAATTTTAAAATTAGATGTATACTATTTTCCGAGATTTAATATTATTTAGTATTAATACTATATTGTAGGTGTTAGGGCTAGTCTAAAAACATCACGCGATTAATGGACGATGAGTTTCTGAAGAAAAGAGAAAATGTTTTTGTACATGTATTTCTAAAGTATTTAAGTAAACATTGTTCTACATATAAACATATGTTTTAGGAATAACATTGTCTTTAACATAATCATTCATTAAAACGACTTAGCGCTAAATAATATTAAGAAATAAAATGTATTAGGATAGTTCTTCAAGAAGTTATGTATTGTTCATTTTACGATTATCAATGTTATGTGCGTCATATTATTGTATACTATTACATAGGAAGAATAATTGACTAAGACAAGGGAAGCATTCCTATATGTTAAATGTATGTTTATATATATATATTAGTTGTTTGTAAATGTGTTTGTGTCCGCTGGTCTCCTGCGATACATACCAGTCCCTCAGTTCAGAATATGTCATTTCAAATTCCAGTTCGCGAGCTGGTTTGAGAACATTGTGTGTGCCACGAGGTTTGATTATATTTTATTCACGTATTCACTTTCAAACATTAGATTTTACATTTGTTCTTTTTGATATTTGATAAATGATTTTTTATGACAATATATTTTTTCTTATTCCATATTTTAAATGAGAGGTTTGATGTCTTTTTGGATACTTCGATAGCCGAGGATTGTCCACAATATAACAGTTTGTAGAGTACGCCAGGAGTCAGTTTTAGATGTTACGACATTACACTTGCAGTGGTTACTATTTATTAGTTAGTATTTGGGTAATGGCGATTTTGTAATTTAGATGTATTTTGATCAGATTTACACGACTTTTTCTTTATTTTGTATTCAATGTTAATCTGTTAAGATGCGGCGTGGAAAATGGATCGGTTCGATGTGAATGTTTCTCTGTTCATTTTTTTTTTAATTTGTAATAAAATCCTGATACTTAGCGAGTTTAGTTTCTATTTTCCACGGCTGTGAAGAGTCGAAGGCATAGGACCAGGCTCAGAGCGCCCCCGTCCCCGCGCGGACGTGTCCCCCGCCCCTGCCCCCCGCCGCCCCCCGTAGCCCTCACGCGCCGCCGGAACCAGTCTGCGGTAACTTTATATTCACATTCGTTACTGGATTTGCTTACTGTAGTAGCTCTTATTACTGTCTCGATTTCTCTCGTAGTGGCCATGTTGCCTGGCCGTCGGTTGCGGGTGGGTACTACACTAATTATATATTTACGTACCAGTAGTTTGTCGCTTTCAACTGTGCATGACCGAGGAGTTAGTCGTTGGCTAAACTGGAGGCACGCGGCGACCGCGAGGTGCGACCTGCATGTCATACAAATACCATTGTTACACATTACCTATTTTCAAGGTGTGATTTTTTTATGTGACTTTCATCGTTCCTGTGTTCCTTGAGGCCGGCGACCGCGCGCCCCCACTCGGCCCCCCGTACACCGCACACACCACACTCCTCACCTCTACACTGCAGCAGATACACAAAACTTATCCGACTTTACAACATAACAATGAAATGACCAACAGTAAGTTCTCGTATTTCTCTTAACTCATTGCAAGAGAAAACATGAAATAATAATGAATTGGTGTAAAAGTGGTGGTGGCGTGTGGTGTGTGGTGGGCCGAGCTGTGGGGGCGGGGGGCGTGCGGCGTGGGGGCGCCGCGTGACGAGCGTGTTGTGTGCAGGCATGCTGGTGCCGGGCGGGATGATGCCGATGGGTATGTTCGGCGGCGTGCCGGGCCTGCTGCCGCGCTACCGGTAGCCGCCGCCGCCGCCGCAGCCGACAGGTACCCCCGACACATACATAACGCGGTGACGGGACACTAACCGGCCCCAGGTAAGACGAGGACGCGGACTCCGGTACGGCCAGCTCGCCGCCGCCGGACGCGCCGCGCGGCGTCCGCCGTCTCGATGTAAATAGTCGCGTGCTAGTGTAGGCGGCGCGGGGTGGGGGAGGTAGGGGAGGGGGTAGAGGCGGCGGCGCGCCGGGCGGGGCGTGCGGCGGCGGGCGGGGCGGCGGGCGGCGGGCGCGGCGGGGACAGGTGACGAGATCGCCCGGCTCGGCCGCGGTTGGGCCGGCAGTTCCCTGCAGCTCCGGCGCAGGCGACTCCGCTGTCACAACTCGCGTTGTTGGATTGGCGGCCCCCTGTCCCCCGGCCCCGACCCGCGCCCCTCCTCCTACTGTAATGTTCTAAACTCCGGGTGTTCAAATGTGTGTAAGAATAACGATCATACGTTAATTATCTGCCTTGAAATTTTTCTTAATTTCCACGTGAAGTTGTGACGTTTGCCTATCTTGTAGAATTTTGACACTTTACTCAATAAATATGCTATGGATCGAATGCCCGCTTTTTATTTGTTTCCTGTTGTCTAATTTTGGAAAGCCAACTTAGTCTTCATAATGTATGTCTAGTTGCCCGTTACACTATATAACTATGATATCATTTATTTACACGCTAATATATGTATGTATTTTGCTTGTAAATTAAATATGAACATAAAGTATTATCCCGGTAATGTAATTAGGATGATGCATGGTATGACATTGTATGATGTATGAGGGCGGGGAGCAGCTGGCTATCCACAATTAGAGCGCATCTCATTGTCCGTCCATTGTGCGAGGAGTGACGCAATAAATACACATTGCATATTAAAGTCATATATTGAATTATATTTAATTGTCTCAGAACACGTTTATATGACACGCACCACAACGCTGCAGACGACACTTGCATGTACAAAATACAACAAATATAATGTAAAAAAGAAATAAACTTAAAACAGTTGGTGGTAAAATGCAACTGACACAACCAACATAACCTAACAAAAAAAATTCCACAGTTTTCAACTAAAATTAAATTAAAAATCAAACTTAGTATCAAAAACAACATAATTTGCATTAAAATACTTTTCTAAGTCTATCATTGTATAACATCTAATTAGAAAGTCGACATCTAATCGATAACACAAACTGAATACGTTACAAGTAACTTCAGGTAAGCGATACTCTCCTTGGTCTGATAAAATGTAGGGTATTTATTTATTAAATTGGTTGTTATATTTATAATTGTAACGATGTAAAAACTACAAAATTTGAGCGTTTCGAAGATCACAATACAACAGTTATAATGAATCTGTACTACTTTAGTTAAATATTCCAATACAAATCGGCTACATCTAAACTTTTCTATTCTTACATCTTACGGATATGTAACTGTTCGTCTTATCGCAAAAGGACATAGACCCAATCACAACCCTTTCGCACTCCGCCTACTTATATCCAGTATATTTTGTACGCTTTTTATATACGAGTTAAAGTTAAATACATTTTATAGCAACATTACAAAAACTAATCTACGACCTACCCTCGAGTAATTAACAAATAATTATGGAAGAATGGCACCGCTAAATACAATAATCGTAATATTTAGGCACTAATTTGTAATACATGTTTTCAATGTTAATAATTAAGTAATAAGTATATAATGTGCTTGATATAAAATTCCTCTAAAACACGTCAAAATGTGTGAGTAGCAACTCTCACAGGCCTTCCTCAATGCCTTATAGAGCTTAGCGTCTCTCAGATACACTCATGTTGATGGAGCGCGCGCGTAGAGCTCAGTCAGCAGGCGAGGGGGAGAGCGAGGCGGCGGGGGCGGGGGAGAGCGAGCGCGCGAGGTCGGGGGGGCAGGGGCAGGGCGTGTTGGCGCGCGTCATGCTCTCGAACCGCTCGCGCATGGCGGCCACGTGGCCCGCCGCCGCGCCCCCCACACCCGCGCCCGCCCCGCGCCTCTCCTCCACCAGCTCGCCCTCCGCCGCCGACACCAGCGACACCTCGGACGAGGCGGAGTAGTACGCCTCGCTGAGCTCGCAGCCGCCCGCCTCGCCCCAGCGCTCCGCCACCGCCACGTACGTCTCCACCTCGCGCACCGAAACCTCCTCGGGGCTGACCAGCTCCTCGTCGCACACCACCTCGCCGCTCTCTGCGGCCATCGCTTCCTCGGTCCACGTCACATCCGTGCAATCCTCGTACTCGGTCTCCTCGTAGCCCGACGTCTTCATAGTCTCGCACAGTCTATTTATCGCGTCGACAACGTCCCTAAGATCGCTCACGTCCTCCGCGGGCATCGTCACCTCGTCTATGGGCAGCACGGTGAGGTCGGATGGCGGCGGGGGCGCGGGTGCGAGTGGTGGAGGAGCGGCCACGGTGTGGGCGGGGCAGAGCAGGGCGTGTGCCACTGAGAGCAGCGCGTGCGCGGGGTGCGAGTCGGGCACGAGATGCGCGGTGGAGGCGGAGTGCGAGCTGGCGGGGGCGGGGTGCGCCCCCCGCGCTCGCTAGCAGGCGCTGCTGGTGCCCGACCACCCCTCCAGGGGGACCTGCAGCGGGGGCGGCGGCGCCTGCGCTTTGTTCACTGTCGCAACACAACACAATATCAGTTGCTACATCTTGCACACTTTAACACGCACAAGGTTGCAAACTGTAATTAGTGGATTAAAGTGTACAGGAAACAAAGGTCCCATCGGTTACGGGTGTTCCATTGTTCAGTAAACAAGTCATAAGTTAGTCTACAGTGTTAAACTTATTATATTAAATTAAATTCCTACTAACATCACGCTTTCATACGACATGCGAGGCTTTTACATTTTGTTGTGTTGTGAACATGCGATGACGTGATACATTCAAAGGTTAGTATTAATGGGAAATGAATGGATGTGGTTAGTTTTACTAATGAATTCACTGTGTACTATAAAACTAAAAGTTGCACAAGTGTTGAAAAAAATGAAAAACACTTACCCAGGATCACAAAACAAGTACTGTGGTTGGTCTCACATAGAATTAAGCTTGTGTTGCCATAAATATATCACGTAGAAATCCGTTTAACTTCAAATACAACTACTAATTCCATTAAAATAAAATGAAGGAAACTATTCTTTAAAATTCTATTTTTCCAACTAAAATACTTTAATAGACTATTTTCTAGACATTTTTATATAAATATGGGCAATACTTAGGTAAAATTGCATTTGCACAATGCATAGAACTTGAGTAACACCACATATGTTCACATGAAACAATCAGACGACATCTAGTGTTAGGTTGAACAATGAAATACTCGACAACGATTCAATAATAATTACTCTTTTATTATTAAAAAAATAATATCTATAAAATACATAAGCATAATACATAGTTATCACAATACCTGTCGCCACTCCCCGCACAATAAGCCTTCATTAAATCTCTCCACTGGCAAACATTACACCAAATATAAAAACATATTTCAAAGCAAAACGCGCGTTTCATGTACTTTCAAATTAATTAAGTACTTTCATAATACTGGAAAACAAAACTTTATTCCCAATTTAAAATATTAAAAATAAAGTCGAACATAAAAGGGATCAGTCAAGAGATCTAATGAATGTGTGTTGTCATTCTTGCTGTGAAATAAATACTGCATCGCAGTTTATTTTATAAATAAATCAGCATAATGGCACCTCGCTATTAACTAAACGAAAACATCACAACAAATTTCATCTAAACTATTGCAAGTTTACAAAGTTTACGTGCAGGATAATAGCGTGTATACGTATCAAATTTTTAAACTATAAAGGCTATGTGAAAATATAAACGCATTTAAAAACTACAAATCGGGCAACTAGAGGGTGGAAAATGTGCTTGTCATTGTCAAAAATCGCAACAAAATAAAAAAAAATAAAAGTCAAATTTTAACACTACCAAAAGTCACAAACAAAATTAAATATTTAAATTGAAGATTGTTATAAATACCATGTAAAAATACTACAGCTTTAAAATAAATAAATTTGATACGTATAATAATTTAAATACATACATTGACACGATAACAAAAACAATGTTCATACAACTATAATATTACATATAAGATTAATATAATGACTCAAAATAAGTTGTAACATTTCTAAAGAATTAACATTTATTGCCGCATTTAGTATGGATTAATGATTACACAAGCAGACCCTTAGTCTTGATTTCTTTTACCAAATCTACACTAAGGGTAGGACTTATTAACCATTTAATGAGCGGCAGTTAGATATATTTTGAATGAAAAAATGTAATGAAATTTCGAATGTAAGCTCACGTTAGTTAAATGAATGTTATTATAATAAGAACTTTCCAGAAATATGAAAATGGAATGCCAATTATAAATGCCATAATCCAATGATAATGGAAGCCATGTCTTTGTTTCAAATGTACTTATTTAAAAAAAATACCGTAATATGTCGCAGGAGTTGTGTAAAAAAAAAATTCAATAATATTTAAAGAAGTTTCATCACATTTATAATTATGCCAATACGGGCTGTCACGACGACACGCATGCAGTCATGCACACAGACAACAGAACAACCTCTCCCTCTAAACAATCACAAACAATCCAATACTAATTTGGTCTTAATATAATCCAATTAAAATACTAAGAAAATTAACATAAACTTATTCGCTACGTCTAATTTATGACTTGTACATATTGCATTGCAAAATTATCTTTCTATATGTACAATATTAACGCTAAATCAATTGTATACAGTATGACTATAAAGACGTTTTTGTGCGTTTCACTTATTATCAAGTAAAACCAAAAAACTATACAAAGCAATTAAGACTAAATACAGTCATTTGTCAGTCGAACATTTGTAAAATCCTCGAAACATATCTTGAATGTATAGCGACATCCAAGACATCGTTACACAACAAGAATCACATGGATAAAGTCACATTCGAATTGATATTGCTACTAAAAAATCTCTGTCACAAGAGGACATTGATGAAAAATTGTATATTTTTCTGAATTTAATTTAATTGAAGAGAGATAGATGAATCACAGTTTGAATTCCAAGACCGATCTTGTCTCTCTGTCTCTTGTTATGCGTTCTCGCTTGCACGCTCGGTTCAGGCGGAACGTGACAAGAGTCATGATTTGATTTGATGCGTGCAACCGTTGTTTATTGGTTTTTAAGACGTAAAGATATCAAAAGTCAAAACGTTAACATTAAAAAATTTAATATTAGTTCCTTAATAAACTTTTCAAGTAGCGTTGCCATTCGAATGTGACTTTGTAGGGGTTTTGATCTTTCAAAGTAGCAAAATAACAAAAACGCTACTGGTAAAAATGTTGGTATATTTGTGTTGCGATGCATCAGGCGTACTTACCGGCGAGCGCGGCGCTGCTGTAGTCCTTGGCGATGCGCAGGAAGGGCGGGGGCGGGGGGAAGGCCGCGGGGGGGCGGAACAGGTCTGCGTAGCGCGCCTCCAGCTCCGCCGCGCGCATCGAGGAGCCCCGCACTGGAGGGGGCGGAGCGCCCGCCTCACTCGCGCCACTCGCACCGCTTGAAATGCTCGACGTGCTCTGCGCAACCCGAAAGGCAAACCTCAAACACGTGTATGTAAAGCCTGCTTTGATTACACTAGTAGAATGAACAGAACGAAGCGTCATAACATTTACTGGTTTTTTGGGCTGGACAAAAATATTTTTTCGTAGCAAATATTTGAAAGACAAAGATACTTTTATTACTCCTATCTGTATGTTGCATGTATTAAAGACTATTTTGGCCTATTTTTATTGTTAAAAATGCAGTATAATCTATTTTCCTATGTACAAAAGCTAAATAATGAAGAATTAGAATATGTATCTGTTTTACAGATCAAAGATTAGAAGATTATGACAGTGGGTGTTACTCGGCGAATCATTTTAAGGTAACCTAAAACTTAACATATTTGCTACTTCAATACTAATGTGGTATAAAATTCATGTACCTATAAATAATTGGTAATCGTTATCATAATTTTGAATTTCTAACACCCAAAATGTACCCAATCTTACTACGTAGCTTAATAAAATAAAAAGCTATTTAACTGTCCTTTACTTACACTTAGCATAATTGCCGTGAAAGGTATGCTTTACTATTTGTTTTCACAATGCTTTTTTCACATCGCTATTTGTGTCGAGTCGTGTGTCGTGTCTTGTGTCATGTGTACACTCACATTCTGTCTGTGGTGTGGCGGGTGATGCGGGGGCGGTGGCG